TTAGTGTATAATACAGTATTGTTAATTATTGGGACAATGTTGTATAGTGAAACTGTAGAATTTGTTCATCTTGCATGAGTAAGACTGTGCCCACAGATTAGCAATTCCTCATTTCCCCTTCCCCAACCCCTGGCAGCCACCATTCTATTCTCTGAGTCTGTGAGTTTGACTATTTTAAATTCCTCATTTAAGTGGAATCAGGCAGTATTTGTCCTTCTGTGACTGAATTATTTGACTTAGTGTAATGTCATCAAGGTTCATCCATGTTGTAACATATTACAGAATTTCCTTCTTTTTTTAAGATTGAATAATATTACATTGTATGTATATATCACATTTTCTTTATATTTGTTGATGGACATTTTGATTGTTTCCATATCTTGGCTATTGTGAATAATGCTGCAATGAACGTGGGCGTGCAGACATCTCTTCAAGATCCTGATTTGAATTCTTTTGGATACATACCCAGAAGTGGGATTGCTGGATCATGTGGTAGTTTTATTTTTAATTTTTTGAGGAATCTCCATAATGTTTTTCTTAGCGGCTATACCATTTTACATTCCCACCAATAGTGGGCTTCAATTTCTTCACATCCTTATCAACACTTATTGTCTTTTTTTGTTGTTTTTTTGATAATAGCCATACTAATAAGTATGAAGTGATATCTCAGTGTGGTTTTGATCTGCATTTCCCTGATGATTAGTGGGTTTTTTATATATACCTGCTGGCCATTTGTATGTCTCTGGAGAAATGTCTATGTCTTTAGCCCCCCCTTTTTTTTTTTTTTGTGACCGGTAAGGGTATCGCAACTCTTGGCTTGGTGTTGTCCGCACCGCGCTCAGCCAGTGAGCGCACCAGCTATCCCTATATAGGATCCGAACCAGCAGCGGGAGCGCTGCTGTGCTGCCAGCACTCTCCCGAGTTCACCACGGGGCCAGCCCTGTAGCCCCTTTTTTAATTGTGTTATTAATTGCAGAAATTCCTTCTGCATTTTCAAAATTAACCCATTACCTAATACATGGTTTGTGTAGACTTCTTAAAAAATAAACTTTATTATGTATATTTAAGATATGCAACATTATATTATGACTTTATGTACATATAAATGGTTACTATAATGAAATAAGTTAACTTATTTCACATCTCATATAGTTACTCATTTTTCCCCCTGTGGCAAGAGCAGCTATAATCTCATTTAGAAAAATCATGAATACAATACACTATTATTAACTATGGTCTTCATGTGGTACAAAGACTAGACTTGTTCCTCTTACATATCTGCTACAATGTATCCTTTGACCTAAGTCTCTCTCCATTTCCTCCCCGTGCCCTGCCTCTGGTAACCACTGTTTTGTTCTCTATTTCACCTTTGGGTTATTTTATTCAACAATAAGTGATATCATGCAATATTTTTGCTTCTGTGCCTGGCTTATTTCACTTAGCATAATGTCCTCCAGGTCCATTCATGTAGTGGCTAATGGCAGAATCTTTTCTTTTTTAAGGCTGAATAATATTACATTGTATATACCACAGTTTCTTTATCCATTCATTCATTGATGAACATCTAGGTCTTTCCCATATCTTGGTTATTGTGAATAATGCTATAATAAACATGGGGGTGGAGATATGTTTACAAGGTGGTGATTTCATTTCCTTTGGGTATATACCCAGAAGAGGGATTGCTGTGTTGACTTTTTTTTTTTAAGTTTCTGTTTCTCTATTGAGGTTCTGTTTGTTGACTGATTGTGATTATATTTTCCTTTAATTCTTTGAACATATTTATAAGAGTTGCTTTGAAGTCTTTGTCTACTAAATCCAACATCTGGGTCCACTCCAGGTCAGTTTCTGTTGGCTGCTGTCTTCCCTGTGTATGGGTCACACCTGTTTCTTTGCATGTCCAGTAAGTTTGGTTGAAAAGTGGATATTTTAGATACTATATTGTAGCAACTCTGAATTCTATGTCATTTTTCTGAGGTTGTTGTTTGGCAACTTGCCTGGATATACACTTAAGAATCTCTCCCCCTTCACTATGTAGCCATTGGTGTGTCTGCTCAGTATTTTTAAATTCTTATTTAAAGAATTTATCCCTATGGGTCCATCCTGTGTCTTCCTTCCTAGCTTATTGATCAGCCAGTGGTTTTTCCAGAGGTTGTACTCAAATGTTATGCTCAACTGATGTACTCAGAGGTTCTACTCAAGCCCTCTGCTGATCTGTTTGTGGGCCAGGGAACCTTTTCATGACCAGGTTGGCTTTCTCTTTTCCCTGGGCTCTCCTGGGTCTTTCCCACATATGCATATTTCCCCAGTTAGCCAGGGATGTGAGGAGAGCACATCTCAGCACTTCTATGGTTTTTTCATTTCCAGGATCTCCTTGCTTCCTCTCTGGCTGGCCGGCTGCTCACCCCAACTTGGACTGGAAGCTTAGGCTAGTATGGCTGTAAGGTTTCCTCATTCATTCCCAAGGGAACCCACCATTTTGAGCCAGCAAAGCTGTAAGTGTTTGCAGCCAGTCCACACTGGTAAAGCAACCACTTTTGCCAGCCAAGCTGGGAGTATGGAGCACTGGGAACAGCCTTAGCCAGCAAAGCCACATACCCTTGCTACTCTTATCCTAAGCTCCAGCAGATTTTCAAAAATAATGCTTCTCATTTTGTTGTCTGCTCTGGTACATTTCCAGTGCCCTAAAATGGTTGTTTTTGATCATTTCTCCCAGTTTTGTCTGTTTTTTTTTTTGCAGAGGGGAATTCACCACCTCTTTCTACTGCCATAACTGGGAGTCCCTCCTCTCATTCTTTGTCATCATTTCAGACGACGAAAGTGAGGCTCAAAGCGGGGAAGCCATTTGCCCTAGGAAGTAGCGGAGCCGGGATTAAACTCAAGGGCTCTGTCTTTGTCAACAGTTTTATTGAAGTATGTTTGACATACAATAAATTAAACTTATTTAAGCCATACAATTTGGCACATATATACCCATGAAACCATGAACACAGTCAGATAATAAACATCCCTCACTTCACCTCGTGTCCCTTTGTCATCCCAGGCAACCACGGCTCTGCTTTCTGTCACTGTAGTCCGCATTTCCTAGAGTTTTATATAAATGGAATCGTACAGCATGTACTTTTTTTGTCTGGCTTTTCCCATTCAGCATAATAGAAATACACTCATGATGTAGCATATTATCAGAATGCTATTTCCACTGCATAAGTTTAAAAGTTTATTTACTTAGCTGTTGATGGACATTTGGGTTGTTTGTGAGTTTAGATTATTCAAATCAGTGTGCTATAAACATTTGTGCACAAGTGTTTGTGTGGACATATGCTTTCATTTCTCCTGGGTCACACCTAGGAGTGGGATGCCTGGATCGTATGGAAGGCATATGTTTAACACTCTAATGAGCTTTTCATTTAGAATAACTTTAGATTTTACAGAAAAGTTTCAAAGGTAGAACATAGAGTTCCCATGTACTCCTCACCCAGTTTCCCGTATTGCTAGCATGTTACAATACTATCACTCATTTGTCAGAGCTAACAACCTGACATGGGCACTGTGGAGCTAGAGCTGGGTCTGGAGCTCACAGCCCCTCAAGCCCATTGTCCAGACTGGATCACAAACCCTTCACGTGCAGGTCTACGAGCTAGGTAACAAGAAAAAGGTCCTTAGAGCCTTGGTTGAAGGAACAATAGTCCTTATTTAGCACACACACATCTAAGAGCGAGGCAGACCAAAGAGAAACTCAGAAACCCAACTGCTAACCACAAAGTCCAAAGAAAAACTGAGCAGCTGCCCTGAAGGAAATGGTTAACGGACTTCTGTAGTCAGCACCCAAGGACGTGTCCACTTGGTGAACTCACAAATGAGTTAACAACCAAGAAATGTCAAGGATTGCAAACAATCCTTGAGAACGCTTGAAGTTGTGAGAACACTTTCTTGGGATGTTCCCAGGAGGTGCATTATAGATAACCAAGTGCTTGAAAAGGGAGGTAATGGCCTTCTGCTCTTGAGAAAAGTATAACAGAATTTATGCATTAATGCTTATCTCGCATGCACAAGCTTGCTAAATGTAATAAAAGCTGTAACAGCAGCTGGGTCGGGCTACTCGCCTGAGAGAGCAGTGGCCCCGCGCTCTTCACCTGCATCTTGTCTGCTGTGTCTTCCTTCGTGTCTCTGATCATTTTAATTAACAGCTGCCAGCAAAAACATACTCTATTTTTATTTTATTTATTTATTAAAAGATGACCAGTAAGGGGATCTTAACCCTTGACCTGGTGTTGTCAGCACCACACTCTCCCAAGTTAACATGCTCTGTTTTTAGACAAGAGCTCTGCTGGCCAGCCACTGCTTCACAAACTCAAGAACACACAATAGCAATAAACTAAAAAGATACAGTGGCCTGCATGCGCACTAACTCCACCTACACACAACTTGTTCACAAAGAATATGCTGCACCACTCCCAATCAGACCTGAGGCAAGAGGGCCCGACTATTCTGTTTTCCTCACAGGCACAATACTATTAAATAAACTCCAGACTTTATTCGCATTTCACCAGTTTTTCCATGAATTCTTTCCGTTCCAGGATCCAGTCCAGGGCACCACACTGCAGAATTGTCACATCTCCCCAGGCTCCTCTGCCTGTGACAGTTTTCTCAGTCCGTCCTTATTTTCCACGACCTGGCAGTCTGGAGGAATGCTGGCCAGGTATCCCGTACAAGGTCCTCCAACGTGGGCTTTCTCCTCACGCCTGAGCTGGGGTTACGGGTTTTGGGATAGAACACCATGGAGGTGAAGGGCCTTTCTCATCACATTTCATCAGAGGTAGATGACGTGCACATGACAACGGTGGGGACAGGGTTTCTCCACTGTGAAGTTACTGGCTTTCCCTTTCCGTAGTCAGTAAGTCCACTCCACTCTAGGAGGGAGGCAGGGAGATTTAGCAGGGGCGGTCCGTGAGGGGGTGGGGCATCCCAGCACGTGGTTGGTGGGGGCGGGGCTGGCACGTGGCATGGGGGCCCAGCAGTAGGCGGAGCAGGGGGCGGCCCAGGCGTGTGGCTGTTGCCAGGAGGGGGCGTGGCTGCAGGCGGCACGTGACTAGTAGGCGCGGGCTCGTGGCCCGGCACGTGGCGCGTGGCCGCGGGGCGCACAGGCGCNTGGCCGCCCGCGCCAGCCTGGAGCTCTGCCTCTTCGCCTTCTCCAGCCCGCAGCTAGGCCGGGCCGTGCAGCTGCTGCACCAGCGCGGGGTGCGCGTGCGGGTCGTCACCGACTGCGACTACATGGCCCTCAACGGCTCGCAGATCGGCCTGCTACGCAAGGCAGGTAGGCGGGGCGGGCCGGGCTGCGGGCCCGAGGGTCTGGGGCGGCCTCCGCGCACCCACAGGGGGCCAAGCGGAGCCCCGCGTCCCCACGGGGGTCTCTTCTGGGCACCTCTGCCTCCTGCGCCGCGCCCGAGCGGGCTGTGGGTCCCCGGCCAGCAGAGTGCGTGCGACTGTGACGAAGGGCAGATCCCAGCCCGCTGCCCCCGGGGTGGTCTGGGCCGCTCTGGCGAGGACAAGGTGGGGGCGGGGGGCCCAGAACGGGGGAGGCGAGTCTGTCCGAAGGCACAGCTGGCGGGGGCCNCGGGACCCGCCGATGGTCGGGTCGCAGGGAGTGAGGAAAGGACGTGTCGGATCCCCGTGATAAGGACGACACTCGTTTCTGAGGCTGAGCTGCTACCAAAACACAGGACGCCCGGTGAATTTTGAATTTCGCATGAACCACCAATAACTTTTAGTGTATTAGTGCATGTCCCCAAATGCTGCACGGGACATACTTGCTTTGAAAGTTTATTCGTAGTTTATCCGAAACCCCGATTTCATATGGATAGCCAGTATTTTTATTTGCTGGGTAGGGACCCTAAGTGGTGTTTTTTTTTTTTGTTTTTTTTTAAGTCAGTCAAATTTAGCAGCATGGGGTTTTATGGAATCTAAATTTTTGGTAAACTGTAGTAATCCATTTCTGTTGCTTATAATAAATATCTGGAACTGGGTGATTTATAG